GGTTCCCACTAGGGGCGTGTGCCTCGGTTGCAGTTTGTCCCCGGCCCTGGTCGGTTGTGCGGGTGGCAACCACTCGATGTGTCCCTTTCACATCGATGTTTCTCTCTCTCTCTCTGTTCCTCTCTCTCCCTCCCACTCTACCTGAACAAAAAAAGTGGAAAAATGTCCTCGGGTGAGGATAAAAAAAAAAAAAAAAAAAATCAAAGATACTACTTTTGACCAAGATTAGCAGACACAGTGATGATGCTAATTAATATAGGGTCAGCAGTAAAGACCATGATTGAGAAATGTGAACTAGTGGCTGGTAGTCAGCAGTTACAGTGTTGAGACTGTAATAGAGTTAGCATACACAGTGATGAGCTCTAAGGTATGGTCAGCATGCACTGTACTGGGTCATCATTGCATTTAGACACTATTAGTGGCTAATGATCAACAGGCACAGTGATGACAGTTAATGCAGGGTCAGCAACACTGTGATTGGGACTTATGAGAGCTAAAGACATTGTACTCATGGCTAACAGGTGTCAGCAAGGTGAGACTAGTGTGGAATCAGCAGATACTGTTAGTCTCTGTTCTTGTGGCTAAATGGGGATCACCAGAGTGATGGCAGCTCAGGTAAGTTCAGCAAATAACTGCTAGAGTCTCACAAGTGTCAAAGAAACTATACTATTGACTAATGGAAGATCAACAAACACTATGATGAGAGCTAATGTGGGGTCAACAGACTGTACTTAGGCATCAACATGTCAAAGACACAATACTGTGGCTAAAGAGGGTGGGATTCAGCAGATACAGTGATTCAACTACAGAAAGGACCAAAAGCATGGTGATGGGCCCTCAAGGTCATACTCTGTGCTGGTGACTAATAAATAAGAAGACATTAATGTATGGTCAGTAGATACACTGACAGGCTATAATGTAGTGATTGGGGCTATTTTAAGGAAAGCAGACACTGCTGGCTCCTAGAGTAAAAAAAAAACAAAACTCTGAAACTTGGTAAATGGGGAATCAGAAGGCAGCGTGACAAGGTCATGTGAGTTCTGTAGACATTGTGCTGGGGCTCAGGAGGGTCAAAGTCACCATACTGGTGGCAAATTATGGAAGAGCAGATACATATTGGTGCAACTGTGCTATACTGTGGGTTTATGGGGGTCAAGACACTGTACTGGTGGCTAATAAAACATCAGCAGACATAGTGATGAGAGCTAATGTTGGAATAGCAGGAACTGTGATTAGAACTCATTGGGTTAAATATATTGTAGGGGGGGTCAATGGGGGGAAAAGGGGAACATCTGTACTACTTTCTTAAATAAATAAATAAATAAATAAATAAATAAATAAATAAATAAATAAATTGAATGGTAGTCAATGGGAAAATCAATAGGCAAAGTGGTGAGGACTGACATGGGGTCAAGCAGACACTAAATTAGAGCTAAAGAAAGGTGATAAAACATACCTGTGAGCTAATGGGAGGTCAGCAGCCACCATGCTGAGTCTAAAGGAGGGCAAAAAGACATGATAGTTAATGGAGGATCATCAGTCACTAAGCTGGAGGCTAAAGGAGTGAAAAGACACTATGCTGTGAGCAAATGGTGATCAGCAAAAATAGTAATGGGCACTAGATTTATTGGGGGTGATCATAAGTTATATAAATATCTAATCACTATGTTGTACAGCTAAAACTAATATAGCATGCCAACTTAATTGAAAAATTAAAATTATAAACCAATGAAATGTACACTTTAAAACGATTAAAACTGCGAATCTCATGTGAATTTTATCTCAAAAATTTTTAAACAAAAAAATTGTGATGGCAGATAAAGAGGTCATGAGACATGACGTTATGAGTAATGGTGGGGCTGGAGAAAAAGTAGTGATAAGATGTTGTGAGATAAAGGTGGGTCAGCAGATATTGTGCTCTGGGCTAAAAGAGGTGATAAGAACTGCTATAAGCTAATGGGGTATTTGTAGACACTGTGCTGACATGTCATGGGGAGCAAACTTACTGTCCTGGTAGCTAATGGAGCATCAGGAGAGACTGTGCTTAGGCTATTGAAAGTCAAATACACACAAGTAGGGAGATTGCCATAAAAGCGATGGTAGCTAAGAGGGGCAGTAAGATCCATCATGGGGCCTCAGTAAAGGTCATTTTCATAGAGTAAGACCATTTCTAAAGCCTTGGGAGAACTAAGTCTCCCACTGCTAATATCTTTCATCTGATCTAGTTCTCAAGATTCCTGGTTTTCTCCCAGGCTGTTCCTGGTGTGGAACAGGAAGAGGGAACTTTTTATTGTTGTTTTTAAAGTTTAATTGAGATATAATTTACACACCATAAAATGCACAGATCTTAAGTTTACTCATTTGACAACTATTGTATACACCCAGTAACACTCCAATCAAGATAAAGAATAGTTCAATCACTGAAGAAAGTTCCCTCCTACCACTTATGAGTTAATTCCATCCCAGGGGCAACCACTGACTGATCTGTTTTCTATCATTATAGATTACTTTTATGTATGGTTGAAATTTTCCATAACAATAATTTTAAAACATCAAATTTTGCCATACAAAAAGGAGGAAATCTTACAGCATGGATGGACTTAGGGAGCATTATGTTGAGTGAAATAAACCAGTCAGAGAAAGACAAGTACAGTGTGATTTCACTCATATATGGAATCTAATAAAAAAAACAAACAAAATAGAAACAGACTCATGGATAGAGAACAGACTGACAGCTGTCGAAGGAAGGGGGCTGGATGAAAAAGGTGAAAGAATTAAGCAGGAGAAAATAACACTCACAGACACAGAGAACAGTGGGTGATTACCAGAGGGAAAGGTGGGTGGGGGGTGTAGAGAAGGGTATAGGGGAGATAAATGATGATGGAAGGAGATTTGACTTGAAGTGGTGAACACACAATACAATATACAGATGATGTGTTATAGAATTGTACACCTGAAATCTATATAACTTCATTAACCAATGTCACCCCAATAATATTTAAAAAAATTTTTTTTTTCGTTATTGCTTTTGGAGAGAGAGGAAGGGAGCGGGAGAGAGAGATAGAAACATCGATGAGAGAGAACATCAATCAGACACCTCCTGCAATGCCCCCCACTGGGAATCAGGAATCGAACTGGAGACCTCTTGGTACATGGGTCAACGCTCAACCACTGAGCAACACTGACCGGGCAATATTTTTTTTAAAAGAAATCGTGGGAGGGAAGTAGGGCTGGAGATTAAGTTTAATCAATGGCCACTGATTTAATCAGCCATGTCTATATAATGAATCCTCCACAAACACCCAAAAGAATGGGTTTTGGAGAACAACAAATTCAGTGAACATACAAAGATTTGGGAAGAGTAGTGCACTCAGAGGGCGTGAAAGTTCCACATCCTTTCCCTATACCTTGCCCTGTGCATCTCTTCCATCTGACTGTTAAATACAATGTTTCTCTGAGTTCTGCAACAAACACCCAATCAAATTTAATGTTTTAAATGGATGGGCTGAAGATGGAAAGAACTGACGAAATGGCATCTTGCTAAATTTAATTAATACTTAGTAGATGGGGGTGAGAGCATGCTATATATAAAATGTAGAAAGTGTAATATGTACATTCAAGTGTATGCTGTATTGGGGAGGCATCTGATGATTGATTCAAATATCCTGGGTCATCATAATCATTATGGGACAAACAGAGAAAAATGCAAAAAAGGTATTTAATTTAGCATCAACTTACTATGGCATAATGTCACCAAATATTAAAGGTAAAAGATTTGCTTTTGCTTATCAAATAAAGTAAAATAGAAAATATTCTGAAAGTAGAGATTTGCCACTAACAGACCTCCACTAAAGAAAACTCTAGTCCAGCCGGTGTGGCTCAGTGGTTGAGCGTCAACCCATGCACCAAGAGGTCACCGGTTCAATTCCCGGTCAGGGCACATACCCAGGTTGTGGGCCAAATCCCCAGTGGGGGGCATGCAGGAGGTGGCTGAATGATGTTCTCTCTCATCGATGTTTCCATCTCTCTCTCCCTCTTCCTTCCTCTCTCTCTAAAAAAATCAGTAACAAATTTTTTTTTTTTAAAGAATGGGTTTGGCTCTGGCTGGTTTGGCTCAGCTGTTAGAGCATCCGCCCGTCCCGGGTTTGGTTCCCGCTAAGGGCACGTACCTCCGTTGCAGTTTGTCCCCAGCCCCAGATGGGGTCGTGTGGGTGGCAACCATTCGATGTGTCTCTCTCGCATCAATGTTTCTCTCTCTTCTTCCCTCTCTCCCTCCCACTCTATCTGAAGATAAACGCAAAAATGTCCTCGAGTGAGGATAAAAAAAAAAAAAAGAATACGTTTGGAGCTGCCATACAATAGCTTAATAACTGGCACATTGCCTACACCCTGTGACCCACCAGTTCCACTTCTAGATTTAGACACTAAACACAGAAACAATACAAATGTCTTTCACTAGGCAAATGCAGACATGAATGAATAGACTGAACCTATATTTATCAACATGACAGATCTTGAAAAGGAAATATTTCATTAAAAAAAGCAAGCTGGCCCTGGCCAGTTTGGCTCAGCGGTTAGAGCGTCGGCCTGTGGTCCAGAGAGACCCGGGTTTGGTTCCCGCTAAGGGCACGTACCTTGGTTGCAGTTTGTCCCCGGCCCTGGTTGGGGTTGTGAGGGTGGCAGCCACTCGATGTGTCCCTTTCACGTTGATGCTTCTCTCTCTCTCTCTTTTCCTCTCCTTCCCACTCTAACTGAACAACAACAACAACAAAAAGAAAAAAATGTCCTCAGATGAAGATAATAAATAAAAAGCAAGCTGTAGAAGTTTAAACATACTGTGATACCATATATTAAATTTTTTAAAGCAATATAGCATTATATATTGCAACATTCATACTATATTTTAAAAACTCAAGGTAGATTAAAATTCTAAATGTTAAAAGAAAAACTTTAACTTCGGAGAAAAGCATAGAATATTATCACCTTGAAATCAATAATATTAAAACATAAAACCTGAGCAGAAGAGTTAACAAAATTAAAGAACTAGCCACAGTGTGGAAGAAGATCTCTGCAACACACATGACTGAAAAAAGAATTTTTATAGACTCATATATTTAAAAAAACAACATTTAAACCAATAGGTAAAAGATAAACTGCCCACAGGAAAACAATGAGCAAAAAGATATAAACAGTCAACACACAGAAGAAAAACCCAAATAAGCAATCAACAGAAAGGAAGATGTTCAACTTCACCACTAATTAGGGAAATCCAAATGATATAAAAACAACAATGAACTCTCCCCTAAGGGGATCAGGACATTTCACACAAAGTAGGAGCCAAACTGTTACAGGTGCACTCTGGGCACCCTGGTGATCAGATGGTCCAAAGGGCTTGATCAAATGGTGAGAGGAGTCTTCACAGAGAAGTTTTCTCCATAGCATAAGGCAAGTGCCGACCTACGTGAGTTCTCTGATGTTCTGTGAGGTGTGCTTTACGGCAGAAGGCTTTCCCACATTCTTGACACTCAAAGGGTCTCTCTCCTGTGTGAATTCGCTGATGTTCAATGAGGCGTACTTTCAAATAAAAGGCATTTCCACATTCACTACATTCATACGGTTTCTCTCCTGTGTGAGTTTTCTGGTGTTGACAAAGGGATTTCTTCATACTAAAGATTTTTCCACATTCACTACATTCATAGGGTTTCTCTCCTGAATGCATTCTCTGATGTTCAATGAGGCGTGCTTTAACATAGAAGGCATTACCACATTTGTTACATTCATAAGGTTTTTCTCCTGTGTGAATTCGCTGATGTATCCCAAGAGATGAGTGCACCCTGAAAGATTTCCCACATTCATTACATTGATAAGGTTTTTCACCTGTGTGAGTTCTTTGATGATTATTGAGAGTTGTCTTCATTCTAAAGAATTTCCCACATTCCTCACATTTATAGGGTTTCTCACCTGTGTGGGTTCTCTGGTGTTGATTTAGGGATTTCTTTGCACGGAAGTTTTTCCCACAATCACCACATTCATAGGGTTTCTCCCCGGTGTGAGTTCTCTGGTGTTGGGTAAGGGATATCTTAACGCGAAATTTTCTCCCACATTCACTACATTCATAGGGTTTCTCCCCTGTGTGAGTTCTCTGATGAATTGTGAGGGTTGCCTTCTCAGAAAAGGTTTTCCTACATTCAGTACATTCATAGGGTCTCTCTCCTGTGTGCGTTCTCTGATGTAAAATGAGTTGTGACTTCCTACCAAAAGATTTCCCACATTCATTACATTCAAAGGGCTTCTCCCCTGTGTGAGTTTTATGGTGAGCAATGAGGTATGATCTTGCACTAAAGGTTTTTGCACAATCATTGCATTTATAGGGTCTCTCCCCTGTGTGTATTCTCAGATGTTCAATAAGGTTTGATTTCCTACAGTAAGTTTTCCTGCATTCATGGCATTCAAAGTTTTTATCTCCTGTGTGTGTTCTTTTATGTCCAACAAAGCCTGTTTTCTTGTAGAAAACTTTCCCATATCCATTATATTCAAGAGTTTGATCCAAAGTTTGAATCTTCTGATGCTGAAGAAGGTCATTATCATGCCTGAGGGCATTACCCCCAACAGAATTGTTGCCACACAGCAGTGAGAGAGATCCTTTAAAATAAATCGGATCATATCACTCTTTCACTCAAAACCCAACCATGGCTTTTCCCTGTCATAGTATAAAATTAAAGTGCTTAACACAGCCTATAAAACTTTACATTATTTGGCCTCCAGCTAACTTTCTGATATCGCCTCTTCACACTCTCACCACCCACACTTAAGCCACACTGGCCTTTTTGCTATTACTAGGATATATCACTCAGACTAGGCTTGACACTTACTGATCTCTGTGCCCAGAATATTCAAAATCTTCATGGCTCCATCTCTCTCACTTCACTGATGTTGGTGCAATGATGTTAACCTCACCAAAAAGTCTTCCCTGATCCCATTCCCTAAAAGCACACACCCCATCATTATCTATCCTTCTTATCTTGCACTGATTTCCTTTTCACTACCAACCATTAGTACGTTTTTGTTTGCTTCTGGTCTCTCCCGCATGCAGGATTGCAATCCCCACACCGAGAATATGACCAGCATATAGTTGACACTCATGAATGAATGAAGGCACCAAGGCAATGGAGAGAAGGAAGGTATTGAGAATACTAAAGAGAGAGAGACTACCTAAAGATAAGTATCCAAGATGAAACAGGCAGGGATAGACAAGAGTGGTAAATAACCACAAAAAACATAAAATAGGAGAAAGCATTTAAGTGTGAGCATGTTATTGGGATGTATGATTTAGACATCTTAAGCATACAGATCTTCTGTCCCAATCATTTTTGTTTGTTTGTTTTGTTAATCCTCACTCAAGGTTATTTTTCCATTGACTTTTTTACATAGAGTCAAAGGGAGGTAGAGAGAGATAATTGGTTGCCTCCCGCACGACCCTGACTGGGGCCAGGGATTGAACCTGCAACCCAGGTACGTGCCCTTCACAGGGAATCAAACCCAAGGCCCTTCAGTCCTTGGGCAAAAGCTCTAATAGCTGAGCAAAACTGGCCAGGGCTCCAATCATTTTCGAAAAGAAAAGACCTCTAAAGAAAGATACCTGAAAAATACTGTCGAAAGATAACCTTAGACCTGAATTCCTGGGCTCTTATCTCCCCTGTTATCCATCTGTCCAGTTCTTGCTTACTCACCTGGGCAACCATGGCCTGAGGATTCCTCCTCTAATATCCACAGCTCTTCTCCTCGCTCCAACTTGAAGATCATCTCTGGTTTGGCCACGCAGAGGCCTGTTAATGGGAAATTGCACAGGACGTGGGCCAAGTTGTCTGAGCTTTAGGGCCTCTGATGGAGGAGAAAGGTGCATCTTCATGAGCTGCACAAGGAAGGGGGCCCATTTAAACCTTTCATCGGGGGAAGTGAGAAAACACACACTCTTCCTGGTGCCCCAAACTGTTCAATCACCTGTGAACCTCGAATCTAAAACTAAAGTATCATTAAATTCTACAAAGGCTATACTCATTACAGCAACCAAAAAAGGAAACACCTGCTACCAGGAGTTACATGGACAATAATTCTCACCCACAGATGCCAGGTTGCTGTAGTTCTCCAGCATCACATCCTTGTGCATGCTCCTCTGACCAGGGTCCAGTCTGTACCACTCCTGTCGGGTAAAATCCACAGCCACATCCTCGAAAGACACAGATCCCTGTAACAACAATCTGCAATGATCAGAATGGGACACATAGAAAAGATGTTTGGGAACTAATTCTCTCAATGGAGCACCATTGGGAATTGACTAAAAAAGCTACACTGGACACATGATTGTCTTGCTTGATATTATACTCAGGGGGCAGGGAGTAGAACAGCCCTGCTTCTGTGTTACTTTATCAATTCATGAAGAAAAGACTACTTAATACTGAGTTATCACTATGGACTTGGACCTGTCCCAGTTGCTGGGAAAACAAAAAGAATGAAAGGAGGGCCTGCTCTCAAGGAGCTCATACCCTAGTAGGGAAGCTTGTATATGATCACATTCATGTGGATGAGGTGTTACCGGAGCTATGCTGAACATGTGTACAGGGTGCAATGGGCTTTCACAAGGGAGGGAACTAGATTCCACTTTGTATTATCAGGCTGAACTTCACTTAGGGAGGCAGCACTTTGAATCCTTAAATAAGAATATCATTTTCTTCATGAATATAGGCCAATAACAAAAGAAAAGGCAGGAAGACATGAAATACACATGGTGAGTTATAGAACTACATATAGCACAGTATGATAGGAAAATAGTGCTTCAGGCTATGATGAGATAAAGGGCTATAGCAGCAATTTTCAACCAGTGTGTCACAAAAAAAATTTAAAAACATGCAATACCTGACTATTTAGTCAGGGAACACTGACCTCTTTTCCTTTAGATTGTCAAATAAAAAAATTACAACAGCCAACACAATAGTCGTCTAGTGTGAATGAATCAAAATTATACCTATTATTTTGTCAGATCAACAAAAAATATATTTTTGGTGTGCTGCAGAATTTTAGTAATTAGTTTCTGTGTGCCATGAGAGAAAAGGGTTGAAAATCGCTGGGCTGTAGAGACATTCAGGGACCAAACAGTGAAGGGATTTTCAACTTTTTTTTTCTTTAAATCATCAATCTCCAAAATACTAGATTCCCTATACCATCAGAATATTGTTTGACCTTCCCACAATATATTTATATTTATAAATTATACAGAAATATCATCAAGTGGGAGAAAGGGTGACAATATTACTCCCAGGATAGTGGCATGAGCAGCTGGGTTGAGGCTGGTGCCATATATTGGGATTTAGCAAAACAGGAGAGAAACACAGGTTGGCAAAAGGGAAAATTGAGATATATCTTAGACTTGAGCTGGAGTGTTTGTTTATGGCACATACTAATAGACACGTCCAGCTGGCAGGTGATTCTGGAACTCAAAAAAGAATGCTAACATAGCCCTGGCCAGTTTTGCCTAGTGGTTAGAACATTGGCCCGTGGACCAGAGAGTCCCGAGTTCGGTTCCCACTAAGGGCACATACTTCAGTTGTAGTTTGTCCCCGGCCCCAGTTGGGGTTGTGTGTGTGGTAACCAGTCGATGTGTCTCTCTCACATCGATGTTTCTGTCTCTCTCTTCCTCCCTCTCTCTCTCCAGCTCTATCTGAAGATAAATGCAGAAATGTCCTCGGGTAAGGATTAAAAAAAAAAAAAATGCTAACATAGACCAAGAAGTGGGAAGCAATAGCATTTCAGTACTAGCTGAAACCACAAGAATAAATTGGATGGCTAAGAGAGAACACAGAGCTTAAAAGAAGCGCCAAGTACAGTCAGTAGGGACACCAATATAACATGAAGAATAAAGGAGGGCCCCTGTGGGGCAGAGAAAATGGGAGAAATCCTTTTCTTTTCTCATACAGTCCTGCCTCAAAGTAAGCCCCAGTGCCAAAGCTGCAACCGGACAGCAGCAGGCACCTCAAACTCGAATTGAGAGGAATCCTTTCCTTTGGCCAGTGGAACAGTGTTCTGAAGAGTGTGGGAAGGATCCCTATTGCCTTTTTCTAACCTCCCACCACTTATCCCTAAGGGCAAATCTGGTTGCAAAAAGTGTATGCCCAAGTAGAGATGCTAAAGCCCCAGCTGTCCAGTCAGAGGACCAAGAAAGAAGATCCCTGGGAGCAGGAGTGTGGGGAAGATTGCCTGAATAATATAGCTTCAAAATACATTAAGCAGCCCTGGCCGGTTTGGCTCAGTGGTTGGAGCGTAGGCCTGCGGTACAGAGAGACCCGGGTTTGGTTCCCGCTAAGGGCGCGTACCTCGGTTGCATTTGTCCCTGGCCCTGGTTGGTCATGCGGGTGGCAGCCACTCGATGTGTCCCTTCACATCGATGTTTCTCTCTCTCTCTCTCTTCCTCTCTCTCCCTCCCGCTCTATCTGAACAAAAAATGGAAAAATGTCCTCGGGTGAGGATAAAAAAAAAAAATACATGAAGCAAAACTGAGAGAATCAAAAGAATAAATGGGTAAATCTACAATTATAGCTTCCAACTTTAAACACTTGCTAGTAATAACAGGAACTAATAGAAAATCAAGAAGGAATAGAAAAACTGAATACCTCCAATCAACCAATTGACTTTGCCAAACTTTCCACTCAAAAATAGAGATTAAGTTTTTTCAAGAGCACATGAATATTTACCAAGCTAGATTACAGCCTGGATCATAAAAAAACACAAGTAAAGGGCTCCACAGGTACCAGAAAAAAAACTGACTTGGAACATAAACTGTAAGACATATCTTAATACAACTATTAGAATTTAATAGCTTTGTTAAAAACTATTAGATTCCTCAAGGCCTCCAGGCAAAAGGATAAAATAATTTACAAGGCAAGATAGTTAGAATGGCATCAATTTCTCAAAAACAACATACAAAGCAAAGCAATAATAGACAGCATTTTCAAGAAATTAAAAGAAAGTACAAGCAAGGAAATTATATCCAGCCAAGATACCCTTCAAATATCAGGGCTTTTAGAGAAACAGTTGGATATGTGCCAGAACACATGTGCCCTTCCTTAGGAATTTATTAGAGCTGTGCTGTCCAATATGGTAGCCATTAGCCACATGTGCCATTTAAATTTACATGTTGATGAATGAAAATGGGATAAAATTTAAAATTCAGTTCCTCAGTCAGACTAGGCACATTTCCACATGTGGCTAATTACAGTACTGGACATTAGAGATACAGAACATTCCCATTGTTGAAGTAAGTTCTATCGCACAGCACAATGCTAGACAGTGACTATCATCCAACCAAAAATGATGAATGGGAAAATGTTGGCAAAAGAACTGACAGTGCACATTTCATATATTTAACTGTAAAGCTAAGATTAAAACAAGGGGAGGGGGGTCGTGGGTTGAAGCATAATGTATAAACATTAAGTGTTCTGACAAAGTAGAAAAACTACAATGAGAGAAGAGCCCGGCCAGTGTGGCTCAGTGGATTGGGTGTCGTTCCATGGACTGAGAGTTCCTGGTTCAATTCTCAGTCAAGGCACACACCCGGGTTTCAGGCTTAATCCCCAGTGAGGGGCGTGCAGGAGGCAGCTGAGTGATGTTTCTCTTTCATATTGATGTTTCTGTCTCTCTCTCTAAAAAAAAATCAATAAAATTTTTTTAAATGGGAGAAGAGAAAGAGAAAGGGGAAAGCTGAATAAGATCACTGACTGCTTTCAGTAATAACTGAAAGACAAATTAGGTGGTAAAAGATTAATAAGAAAAAAGTCAACTGATACAGCCATTATGGAAAAACAATATGGAGGTTCCTCAATAAATTAATAGAACTACCATATGATCCAGCAATCCTACTTCTGGGTATCTATCCAGAGAAAGTGAAATCACTATACTGCAGAGATATCTACACTCCCATGTTCACTGGAGTATTATTCACAACAGCCAAGACATGGAAACAACCTAAGTGTCTGCTGAAAGATAAATAAAGAAGATGTGGTGCAGCCCGGCCAGTGTGGCTCAGTGGACTGAGCGTTATCCTATGGACTGAGAGGTCCCAGTTCAATTCCTGGTCAGGACACATGCCTGGATTTGGGCTCGATCCCCAGTGCAGGGCATGCAGGAGGCAGCCAACCGATGTTTCTCTCTCTCTCTCCCTTCCTCTCTCTCTAAAAAAATCAATAAAACATATTAAAAAAAAAAAAAAAAAGATGCCTGGCCAGTGTGGCGCAGTGGTTGAGCATCGACCCATGCACCAAGAGGTCACCGGTTTGATTCCTAGTCAGGGCACATGCCCAGGTTGTGGGCCCCATCCCCAGTGGGGGGCATGCAGGAGGTGGCCAATCGATGTTCTCTCTCATTGATGTTTCTATCTCTCTCTCCCTCTCCCTTCCTCTCTAACATAAAGAAAAAATGTATATTAAAAAAAAAAGATGTGATATATATACAACAGAATATTATTCAGCCATGAGAAAGAAAGAAATCCTGCCATTTACAACAACATGGATAGACCTTAAGGGCATTATGCTAAGTGAAATAAATGAGAGAGAAAGACAAACACTGTATAGTCCCACCTATATGTGGAATCTAAAAAATAAGTCAAACCGCCCTAGCTGGTTTGGTTCATGGGTTAGAGTATTGGGTCACAGGTTCAATTCCCAGTTAAGGATACATACCTGGGTTGCAGGTTCAATCTCTGGCCCCAGGGGTGGTCCTGTGGAGACAACCAATCAATGTGTCTCTTTCACATTGATGTTTATCTCTCTCTCCCTCCTTTACACTCTATCTAAAAAAATCAATGGAAAAATATCCTCAGGGGAAGATTAACCAAAAAAAAAAAAAAAGTGGAACTTGCCTGGCCAGTGTGGTTCAGTGGATTGAGCATTATCCCATGGACTATGAGGTCCCAGTTCCATTCCCAGTCAGCGCACATGTCTGGGTTGCGGGTTTGATCCCCAGTAAGGGGTGTGCAGGAGGCAGCTGATTGATGTTTCTCTCTTACATCGATGTTTCTCTCTCTCTCTCTCCCTTCCTTTCTCTCTACAATCAATAAAAACATATTTTTAAAAAATTAATCAAACTTATAAAAGCAGAAGGTAGAATGATGGTTACCAGGTGTAGGGGAAATAGGAAGATGTTGGTCAAAGAGGAGAAAGTTACAGTGATGTAGAATGAGAGATCTAATACACAGGC